AAAAAAGAAATATCAATCACACTTTGTGAAAAAAAATGAATGCAATAGAAACTTGGAGCAGGGACTTGTAGATGGAGCAATCAAGACCACTTCATGAGGGTCAGGTGGGACGTGCACTAGCTTCTCAAAAAGAAAAGGAATTAGATGGACGAAGGGTAGGAAGGGGCCCTCCAGGCGGAAAGGATGGGGCCAGTGGCTACACCACCTACTTACAGGGCAAATGTTGGGGAAGTAGCACTCCCACTTGCAAAGAGCCCTGGCCTGGTGCCCAGTACACCAGAAGTCAGGGTGGTGTCAGTCAATCTGGACCTCATATGATCCCTTCCAACTCTTAAAAGAATGTTTAGAATCCACCATGATGATTAGAATACAGAGCATTTTAAGTTGAGAAAGAGACCCTTGGCCAACTGACCTAGTGCATCTTTTGCAGCTTCTTCGAGTGGTGTAAATGTCTAAAACTACAATATCACACACACACACACACACACACACACACACGCACACACACACACACAGCTTCAGCTTTTCTTTAAACTCACTTTTTCCCTCTCCTGCAAACCCTCTTTATCCCATGACAAATTGAATGGAGATGGTACCTCCTGCATCTATATAGAGTATACCTATGCTCTCCACATTCCTATCCCAATCCCACCAGCTCTAACTCAACAGCCCACCTGACTGCTGTCAGTACTACTTCAAAAAAAAAACTTTGTGACCATTAATTTTAGCACAATACAGAAAACCACATAAAACAAACATGGAGCTTTTAAAAAAATAAAAAGTACTAGGATTTGAACTTAGGGCTTACTGTTTGCTAGACAACCACTCTTCCATTTGGGCCACCACCCCCGCCTGTTTAGCTTTATTTTTCAGGTAAGTTTCACACTTTTGCCCAGGCCAGCCTTGGACAGTGATCCCACTACCTCCACTTCCAGTGTAGCTGGAATTATAGGCATGGACCACCACACAACCAACTTGGGTTTTTTGTTGTTTTTTAGCGTCTTGGTAACTTTTTTTGCCCAGGATGGCCTAACTGTAATCCTTCTCTCTACCTCCCAAGTAGCTGGGAGCATGTGCCACCATGCCTGGCAAACACGGAGCTTAATAAACTATAATGGACATCCTTATAGTCACAATCCCATGTCACTCCATTTTCTTTTGAACTAAAGTATTGCTGTGAATACCACTCTTGGGGATATACCCAAAAGACTGTTACTCCAGAGGCACCTGCACACCCATGTTTATTGCGGCACTATTCACAATAGCCAAGTTATGGAAACAGCCAAGATGCCCCACTGACGAATGGATTAAGAAAATGTGGTATCTATACACAATGGAATTTTATGCAGCCATGAAGAAGAACGAAATGTTATCATTCGCTGGTAAATGGATGGAATTGGAGAACATCATTCTGAGTGAGTTTAGCCTGGCTCAAAAGACCAAAAATCGTATGTTCTCCCTCATATGTGGACATTAGATCAAGGGCAAACACAACAAGGGGATTGGACTATGAGCACATGATATACGCAAGAGCACACAAGGGAGGGGTGAGGATAGGTAAGACACCTAAAAAACTAGCTAGCATTCGTTGCCCTTAATGCAGAGAAACTAAAGCAGGTACCTTAAAGCAACTGAGGCCAATAGGAAAAGGGGACCAGGTACTAGAGAAAAGGTTAGATCAAAAAGAATTAACCTAGAAGGTAACACCCACGCACAGGAAATCAATGTGAGTCAATGCCCTGTATAGCTATCCTTATCTCAACCAGCAAAACCCCTTGTTCCTTCCTATTATTGCTTATACTCTCTCTACAACAAAATTAGAGATAAGGGCAAAATAGTTTCTGCTGGGTATTGAGGGGGGGAGCGGGAGGGGGTGGAGTGGGTGGTAAGGGAGGGGGGTGGGGGCAGGGGGGAGAAATGAACCAAGCCTTGTATGCACATATGACTAATAAAAGAAAAATGAAAAAAATAAATAAATAAAAAAAGAAAGCAAAAAAAAAAAAAGAAGAATTGCTGTGAAAATTTTATTGGCAACCTAGTATTTTTTCCACTGTACGAAACTAAGTCTTTTATTTGAATGCAAAAGAATTTTTTTTCTTTAAAGTACAATAACTTTCTACCATGTTCTGTTGGCCATTCTTGGTTTATTTATGTAACTATGTAGTGCACCTCTTCGATGTGAAATTTCAAACTTTTATTTAATTGCAAAACTTTTTTGAATTAAGAAACAGGAATATTTTTGATATTTATTCTACTTCTCAACTATAGTTTTCTTCTTTGGGTAAACCAAAATAAATGTTGAGTCTTTGCTTTTCTTCTTTTTCATTCTCTTACTCCTTTCTGTTTTGATTTTTTTTAATTTCCCTTATTCATCTTCTACTCAGTTTAACACATTGTTTTTTGTATGTCTACATTCTTCTGTTCCTCCTATTTCAGTCATTATTTAAAATGTTTTTCTTCATTTGTTCCTGGGTCCACTCTCTTAATTTCTTGACTTTCCTGATTCCTGTTGAACATTGTTCTTGCATACATTATCTGTAGACGTGTTTGAACAGATTTTCATCTGTGTTACAGGTGTCATGATGTGCTTTCGTTGCTAGCCTATCATTCTGAGCCTTATTTTCCTTTTCAGGTTTACATAGCATTTTACCTGAATTTTTTTTTTTTCATCTTTATGTGAAATTAATCTTTCTTAATTCTGGAAGGGAACAATGTACAAAGATTGTTGTTATTATGTAAGACTCTAGAGTTCCCTTTTCTGTTGATACTATGAAGTGTCCAAAAATAAAGCACTTAACTTTCTGAGCTCTCCTGACTCTCTTCCCTCAAAATGAGCCTTCTCTCCCTTGTATCTATCCTGCTCCTGTATGAGTTCTACTGTGAGGCCTTGTCCTGGGCATTCATGGGATGCTGTCTGCTTCAGCCCCTGCCCCCCTTTCCCTAAATCCCTCCACTAGAGTGCAAAAAGTACTCCCAATTTCCACTGCTCCTCTCAAACTACCTCACTGAGACTTTGAGCTCCTGGCAGCTATTTGGGGGCTCTCCCTCAATTTCCTCCAGGGAAGCTATCAGCTTCCCTGATCATGCTGAGGTTTGTGAAGATGCTTGTCATCATAGTTTGGTATATTCTATGAATTTTATTTTTGCTATCTCATTTTCTGTGTTTTGATGGAGTAATTTGGAGAGAATCAAAAACTATGGCATAACTCACCAGAATCTCCATTTTTGTTTTTAAACCCTGATGCTGAGAATGTCTTGATCTCTGTTCTCTGACCACTTGAAAGAACTGGCAACCACAGAGTGAGCTTTAAAATTGCCATACATACCTGTCTCCCCTAGAAGCTGACAGTTCTGGAGCACTGGGAGGTGTAAGGTGCTTCATGTTGAATCTCCCCATCGACTTGGGTATAAACCCCCCAGCTTGGGTTTCTTGAGAAACCCAAGAGTAACGTCTCCCTCATGGCTTGTTAGCTCCCCCTGGACTCTCTTCTCAATTGCCCAGTCCTAACCCAGAGTTGGTCTGATGAGAAATTTTTACCACTCAACATTTTTTATCATTTGTTTAAAAGTGAGGAAGAGTGATTTTTATCTTATCTCCCTCTGAGCTCTGATACATTACAATTTTATTCTAGTTCTCAATCTTTATGGGACCATCTTGGCTAGTTTAGGTCTTGTGGAATTAATGCTAAACACAATGAAGCGCAGGCAGGAAGCTCCAGGCACCTGGCACCTGTTAGCTTTGTTTGTGGGGCTAGGACCTATTAAGTCAAACTGCTCTGAGGTTGCCTTGGGAAGCTGCAGGCTTAACAGCCTGAAAAACAAACAGCAGAGTTGCCATCACACTTGAGTTATGACCTGTTTAAACTCCAAATCAACTGCAATTCACGGTCCCCACTTCCTTGAGAGGGAACCTTTCAGGGTATGATACAACAGCCTAAGTCCTAAGAGGAGGCTTCCTGACTTCCAGAGGGATGCTAGATGAAAAACATAATTAATCTGTTCTATCTTTTGGGGAGAAAATTCTCTTTTAAGTTCAACCTTATGGTACATATTAGAAACATGAGCACTATGAACAAAAGACATGCGATAACTGATCTTCAAAGGATTAAAATACATCCTGTTAGTGGAAGGCTTCTATGCTTCTCTGCCTTCGTTACAAATATAACCTGAGAAGTAATAGTATATCTAGATTCCTCCCACAAGGAAGCAATCAAGGATTCTTGAGTAAAAAAGAACATAGCCATACAATGGAATGGTTAGTCATTAAAAATAAGAATCTATATGTATTAATATGAAAAAATAACTTGGAATATACATGTTAATAAAGCAAATTAGGGATAAGTGTGTAGAGCTCAGTGGTAGAGTGGTTCCCTTGCATGAACAAGGCCCAGGGTTTGATCCCCAGCACCACAAAAAAAAAAAAAAAAAAAAAAGAATTATATGTATATAGAGATCCAATATTTGCACAGTATACATGTTCATGTGTGTATATATATTCTTTTATATATTCACATATCAATATAATGAATACATAGAAAGAAGGTGGCAAAAATATGTCATACATAATATTGGCTATACCTAAGGAGTATGTCTTAAATTTGAGTTCCTAAAGAAGCATGTCTTGAGATAAGGATTTATAAGTAAATGACTTACTAGAGTACCAGGAAACACTGATGGAAGGGAGGGAAAACAAGACATAGAAAAGAAAGAAGACAAGCAAGTTACCAAGGTGGGCAATTAAGGCTCAATCCCACTGGGAAACCCAGGAAACTGTGTAAACCTCAGATAACTCAGCCAAAGGATAAGGAAGTCTGTCTGCCCATCCCCAACCATGATGGTCTGTGGTCCCAGGGTCTTCCTCCACATGTACAAGGCACGAGAAAGGCTACAGAACTGAAGCCGGCACTTGTTACATAATTTGTCTACAAATAATGGAAAAATGAGAGCTCTAGCAATATGCAGAACTTACAGCAATTCCTATAGAGAAAGTTGAGACAAAGCAGAGTTTTGACATTTTTATTCATTGATCATAAATATAGTCTCATGAACATCAAGGTGAACATGAATGATGTACTAGCACCTGGAACATGACTGTCATGGAGCACTCATTGATTCACCATCACTGGCTAGAGAGCTTAGGGTGCCTCTCTGTCACTGAGTGTTCAGCTTTGTGGGACCCTCCTGGTGTAGCAATTTTATTCCTGGCTCATTCTCAACAATTAAAAAATCATAAAAGACTGAGCATTTGCAAGAAAATATCAAAGAGGATAAGAAGATTTTTAGTTCTTCTCAAAGTCTAAAAGTAAAAAGGGGAATTAGGGAAGAAGAAGAAAGGAGAAAGATGTCAGAGGTCTGCCATGTTTCTTCCTTTCCCCAAAGTATTTTACAAAAACAAAACCAGAGAGGTATCAACGCTGTTTGGAGATGGGCTGCGTCTCTCTGATGAGCCACTCAAGAGCTTCCTGGCGGCCCTGTTTCTGGAGTTCCTTCCCGATCACATCCCTGCAAGTCTGGTGGTAAGTGTTGAGCCAGTCGCACTACAAAGGAAAGAAAGACATCATATTTACCATCACATAGTTACCAAAAAGCTACACAAGGTGACAGCAAGGGACCCTCATGTTGAAGTCACAGCTGAGAGCACCGGTGCACAAATTCCTTTCTTCCTGCTCCTGCACAGGTGATTTCCTTATGTCTATTTCCTCAAAAATGTAGGGATCAGCCTATACTGCTAATGGTGAAAATGCTCCCAAAAGAGTCTGCCATCTGTGGACTGGCAATGACTGAAAAGGAGCCAAAAATACCTGATGTCAAGCCAAGCCTTTGGGCTTCTCTGAGTGTAGTGCAACTTGTTACCAGGTCTTCCCCTTAACAGGATGCCTGGAAGCCTATAGGCCACTACATGAGAGAGCTGGAGTCCACTAGGCCAGCAGCTCTTATACCCACTATGTGGACCCACTCCCAATGTGGAGCCAGCTCAGGGTGGTGGTAGACCTGAATAAACTCCATCAGCCATGAGGACTCCTGCTAACAGATGCCACTTCTGAAGCTGTCCTGCCAATGTACTGAGTTTCCCACCCTCCATCCACTGACAGGGCTGAAAAACTAGGATCAGCTGAGTCCAGCTGAGTCACTGAATGTGACTGTATAGATGATCTTAGCTCAGCCTTCGTGGTCAAGAATTGTGGTACTGCAGAGCAAGGTTGGGAGTAAGCTTGACTTTCACCCCCTTGGTCAAATGTGCCACCACAATAGGAGCTATAACCATAAATAAAAGGAAGGTGTTGGTAGGATTTGGTGCCTGGGCTGAGGCTGATCCACCAGACCTGTGGATCTGTGAATGCTCTGTGGTTGGTAGAAGAGCAAAATCCTCTCTTAGTGGAGTGAAGGAAGAAGGCAGCTGTAATGATGCAAATTTTACACAGAGGACAACAAGCCACTCTCTTCCTTGTACATGGAGTAAACCTGGACCATATACCCAGCTGTGACAAGGCTGACAAGGTTGATACTGCACTGGCATGGCTGTACTCAATGAGCCATATGCCATTCACAGAGACAGTGATGTTTCAAAGGAACTGGCTTCAGAGAACGTAGTCTGGACCAGGTACTGAAGCCTGGCTGCAAGGTCAAGATGGATATACAAGCCCATAAGGGACTATAGGCAGACAGAAGGGGTGATACCGCTAACTGGTTCTGACACAACCAGGGTCCTAATACCCACTAAGAAGAGCCTACCAGCTCTGACGAAAATTGGAAAAGAAGTGTGGTGATATCAAAAGCAAGTGAACTGCTGTGTGTCTCCAACTGGGCCAGGCAGGGATTCAAAGTTGCCAGTCATCCAAACAGCTCAACAGCGAAGCCAGAGGCAGCCTAGTGTAACCCTGGGACCACAGGGATACTCCCAGGGCCCTTCTGGTTGAGGGGAGGAGTGCAGACAGCCTCAACCAAGCCTAAGCAACATCCCAAGCCTGACTTCTGCAGATACCCAAATGTACATCTGAACAAGGATCTCTGCTGCCACCTGGTGACAGATGATGGAATACAGAACCAACCCAAATCTCCCTTAAACTGAACAGCTCGGAGACAGTAAAGGGCAATGGCCAGGTATTTTAAAAGTCTAATGGACAGCACCCTGTTGTGAGGAACTACTGTGCATTCAGACAGAATGAAGCCTCAGACTTATTAAAGGGTAAATAGGAAAGAGACCTTTTGCTAAAGGAGATAATAGCTGATACAGTACTCTGCTTAGATGTTAAATACTATTGTCTACTATTATTTGTGGAAACTGCTTATGATCCCCAGGATAAGAATGTATTACCTGCCATACAAAGAGTAATTGGTCAAAATAATACTTTGATTTATTTGCCTATGCAAGGTACAGAAATGAGCCACTGTCTAAGACAGATCCCACTGGTCTAATCACGAAACTGTGAGTCTCCGGTTAACAATCTCTTTCCCCTTAAGAAAAAATGGCTTCGCTTGACCTCCCCTGGTTGGAAGCCATAGCCTTGTGCTATAAAGTGATGTATTATTTGAGAGTCCTTTGCTAAGATCCTGGAAACTATATGGGTTCCTATGAGACATGAGGCTTCTAAGCAGGGCGTTCCCATGCCTACATATATGTTCTTGTTCCCTTTTACCTAAAGGCATCACTTTAGGGATTTAAAGAATAGCCCCTGAACTGCTGGCAGGACTCTTCCCACTGAGGAGACAAATCTGATCCCAGGCTGCTGACAGATTGAACTCCCTGTTCTTTACAGGATCACCAGCCCTTGTGTGTCTTGTGAGAATGCTAGGTACTGATGGTCAAGCAGAGGTACCCAAGCACAGAGGAAAGCTAAGCATGAAGTATCTTCCTCTGTCACTACCTAAGAACTGGAAAGGACAAGACTTTTAACTGGGCAAATAACATTCTAAGCACCAGCAACAGAGCTCCCAAGCCTTCAGAGTTCCTTCTCTTTAATGCCAAGAACATTCTGCCCCAAGTAGAACCTATTGAAGAGTAGTCTCCTGCCTCAAAAGGTATTAGAAGGCCCCTGGGATGAGGCTAGAGGCTGCCTCAAGCAAAAAGGTTATTTCTAGAATATCCTGCCATGCTTGTCCTGCCTTTGGCTCCCACCACATACCTGCTTTTCACTGGACTTCCGAACCCTGCCTTACTCTGGAATTTGTGTTCTGGCTTCCCAACTCCTGATTTGAGAACCATTTTGTCTGTCCAGGACTAACTAACTGTTCCTACTCCATTGCTGACCCTTGTTTCTTCTCTGGCCTTGATCACTTGCCTGATCCCTAAGCCTTACTCCAGGCCCCCAGCCTGCCACCTTATCTGGCCTCATAGCCTGGAGACTTACTCTAGGATTTGAAGGGATTTAAGACCTGTAATTCTCTGAGCTTGGTAAGGGAGCACTTTTGTATCCAGGTTTTGTGAAGGGCTCCATTGCCCCGGAATGACCACAGAATAACAGAAGAGCTGGTACCCCTTCCCTCCTCCCCTGTATGAAAACTGGGCATGTTTTCTGCTGGGTATTGAGGGGGGGAGCGGGAGGGGGTGGAGTGGGTGGTAAGGGAGGGGGTGGGGTCAGGGGGGAGAAATAAACCAAGCCTTGTATGCACATATGAATAATAAAAGAAAAATGAAAAAAAAATAAAATAAAATAGCATAGAAGTATTTGTCTGTGCATAAAAAAAAAAAAAAAAGAAAAAAAAAGAAAACTGGGCATGTAATAGATTTTGCTTCTTGTTCCCTTAATGTTTCACACAACACAAAAAAACAATCTGGCATGCATAGTGGCCAACAGACCTCACTGTCCATCCGGCTCATTCTTGGGAAAATAAATGGGCCCGTGTTTGCTAAACACTTCTCGGTACAGCTATGGAAGAACAATGAAGCTATTTCGTCTGGAAAAGCAATGGTCTACTATTCCTACCCACAACCCTAGAGCCCCACAACACCTGGGGAGCAGGACCACCTCTGCCTTGAGTCCCAACAAATATAGGAAAAGTGCTTAAGTCCTCAGGAGACCTCGGATACTTAAGACTCAGTTGGCCTAGACCTCTAAATTAAAAAGTAAGAATGGAGCAGAGAGTTGAGGGTAGCTCTCCACTAAACTTCTACCAAAACTCCTACCAAAACTTCTGCCCTTGGGAATTCCCCATTACCTCTTTGTCTGTAAGAGAATCCACATCTATCATTTTGGTCTGGATTGGAACCAAAGTTAAAGGTTCAAAGGTCAGGCTTCCCCGGTTATTGAAATTATACTGTAAGAGAAGGAAGAAAACAGCAGTTTTTACTCTTCACCACAGTGAACTGCCATGAGATCTCTGCACTAGAGACACCCCTCAGAGCCAGGTGTAACTGGGGCCCAACAAGTAATTAACTGGTCACCATTTTTAACAGGCACACAAGGGACACAAACACAGATGATGCCATTTTCTTTGCCCTAAGGGACAGCCTGTGCCACAGGAACAGGTGCCCTAACCTCTTGAGCTACACCCAAACCCTTTTTACCTTGTTATTTTTCAAATAAGTTCTCATGGGTTTTTTGCCCAGAGCCAGCCTAGACCGCAATTCTCCTACCTATATCTCTGGCAAAGCTGGGATGTCCAGCTTTTTATTGGTCTCACTAACTTTTTGCTCAGGCTGTCCTGGAATCATGATCCGCCTGATCTTTGCCTCCCGAGTAGCTGAGATTACAGGCAGACACCTGGCTTCCACTGGGGTTTAAATCCCCAAAATCAAAGAGTTAGTTGTATGACCTGCCTTAACCCAGCCAAACCCATCGGTGATAACATAGCTGTCCACCAGAGCACAAAAAAGCAAGCTGAAGGCTGGGGATGTAACTCAGAAGTAGAATGCCTGCCTAGCATGTGCAAGGCTGTGGGTTCAACTACATCACCAAAAAAAAAAAAAAAAAAGTTTTTTAAGGGAGCAAGGGCTGGCAGCATGGCTCAAGTGGATAGTGCCTGCCTGGCAAGCACAAGCTTAACACCCAGTACCGGCAAAATAAAAAGGGAGCAAGCTGGGTCCCTGCTTGTTGGTGGGCCTCTGGAAGTGATGTGGGAGGCCACTTCCAAGAACAGTTGTTTTCACAAGCACAGGAGATCCTTGAGGTCAACTTCTTCAGACTTAGGAAGCTACTTCCCTCCAGCTGTTCATTTTCACAATCACCAAAGGGAGAGGAGCAAATGGTCCTTTTAGGTAAAGTCAGTGTTATAGCTTCTTAGTAACACTGACCAAGAAGAGGGTGAAGCACCTGTCTGGTATTGCCTGTGAGACCTGACCCACAGTGTAACTCAGGCTTCCTCAACATTACCTGATAAAAAATTACCTGGGGATTATAATGAGATTGCAGGTTCTACGTCCTTGCACTAGAGATTGGTTCAGAGCTATGGAACTGTCCCTTGAAAAAGCAGACAGGATTTCATGACAACAAGCAGCCTTTAGCAAACCCAGAGCTCCAAATAATGTCAAGCAGGGGTCAGCCTGGGATTTCATGAGTAATGGTCTTGGGTTCATTAAGCACTTTTTTTCTAGCTTTTCAGGGGAGGAGGGTGACTTCCAGTAAAGTCCCTAATATCAGGAAAGGAAGCTCCATTTTGGCTCCAAAATGGCACATTCTTGGCTCCTAAGACAAACATCTTCTTATTCCCACAGTAAAGAACAGGAAATTTTTTAAACAAACAAACAATTACTCACCTTGGTCTTCATGGGAACCACCAGGACGACATTCTCAATGCGGATTCCAAAAGCCCCATCTTCATAATACCCTGGCTCTAAAACAAACAAACCCCCAAATAAGAAGCAGCCCACAAGGAAGATGTACACAGAGAGATGCTTTCACTCTAGGAATGACTGCCCCTCCATGAAGGAGAAGAAAGAGGTGAAGGGCCTACCCTATCTGGGTTAAAAGCTTGGAAATGCTACCTTCTCCCATGTAGTCACCTGAGGTACAGAAAGACAGGCATTAAAGTCTGTGTACAAAGATTTGGCAATGACATGGGAAAATACAATATATTAAGTAAGAAAGCAGAATACAGTCTATCCAGTATGCTCTCAATGATTTCAAAAAAAGATACTACATATATCAAAGACCAAAAGATAACACAGCAAAATATGGTCATGTTTCCTGAATGCTGGGATTGCAAATGATTTCATTTTCTTTTTATTCTAATCTATAATCTTACTTTTTCTAAAATGAACGTGAATCATTCTCATAATCAGAAAAGTTTATTGTTAATTCAAGGCGACAGGAGGGGGAAATTATTGCCAATTTCCTTTAAAATAATTAAAAACTAAGAAACAACAAAGAAATGTCATATGCACTCTACATGAGGGACACCTACCATCAGTGACAATCATGCCTGCCTCCAACGGCTCATCGGAGAATGTTTTATAACTGATGCCACAAGGACCCTCATGAACATTCAAAAAAGACCCAACGCCATGTCCTGTTCCATGCAGATAATCCAGGCCAGAATCCCATAAAGCTGAACGGGCAAAGGAGTCTAGAAGGTGGCCTGGAAGACATATAAAGAGCCATTTGATGATATTTGCACAGCACTTTAGAGATTAGATTTATTGCATTTGGCTCTGAAAACTGAAACAGAAACCCCTGGGTAAAAGTTACTGGAGAGTTCAGATTTCAGGCTAGCACAAGGAAGAACTTTCTAATAATCAGAGCTCCTGAGAAGCCAGTCAGAACTCAGTCTAAAGCTAGGAGACCTTTGTCAAGGATGCTGGTAGGACATACACCTACTGCTAATTACAGCTGCATTACACAGATGTTCCTTTCCCAGCTCTGAGACCCTAAGGTTTCAGAATTATAAAGACGAGATTTTAATAGGACTGCAAGCAGGCAGGCAAACAAGAGAGATAAGGAAACTGAGGCTTAGGAAAATGAGTGCATGCCCATCTAATCAGATTCAAAACCCGAGTCTTGCCGACTCCCAGTCCATTGCCCCCTCTTCCAGTCTTCAACCAAAGCAACAGATACCTAAAGTCAGGATCCCAGTAAAATAAATACCAGCTAGGACCATCCAAGGAGGCATTGGCCCAGTGCTGAAGAACAGGCAGGAGGCTGCCCTAACTTCCACCCAGGCCCTGTGGCCTTCAGGCCCAATCTGCCCTCTCATGTGTCATTTGATTCCTTAAGTAGTCAAAAGTGTCACAGCAGACACCAGGCCGGATTGTAAGCCTGGCTCCTGGGGAGGGGGGAGGAGGAGGAGGAATCTTCTGAACTCAAGTCAGTGGGACCAGGGGACCATGAAGTAGGAACTACCTCAACATTGGGAAAGACATGTTTTTTCCACTCAAACTTAGACATGTTTGATTCCTCAACAAGAAAAACAGCTTGCCATAAAATAGAAAGACCACCTACCCTTGGTTCCAGTCGGGAAAATGGCTGCACTTACAGCTATGTGGCCCTTGAGGACATATGTGAAGCATTCCTGCCAAAGAAAACCCAGGAGTCAGACATTTTAATCCAACAGTTTTCTGATAGTGCAGAAAACTTGGTCTGTTAAAGTTTTTAGCAATACCACAGAGAAAACTAATGAGAAAAAAATATGTATCTGATGAACAAAAAGCCTGATCATAGGCCAATTTTCCAGAAAATCTTGAAACTAAATTTAATAAAAGAGCCCCATCAGAGATGACTTCACAGGGTATTACCATGTAATGAACAGTCTGACATATTCTGTGTCATGTGAGCCTTACAAAGACAGAAAAGGAATAAACAGTACTGATGACCTAGCTAACATTTACAGTGCTAGGCCCTATACAAGTTCTGTACATTAGTCCCACTATATGATGGAGGCACCATCATCACTATTCTCCTTCAGAGAGACCCAGTAGCACAGTTTCTAGCTAGGCAATCTGGCTGCAATATCTGGACTCCTCACCACACTTTCCTCAGGGTGGCTCATCCCTACTGCCTGGACAAGAAAAGTGCTGCATGGAAGACTAGTGGCTTGCCAGTAAGGTGCAGAAACAGGACTGAAATTCTATACTCCTAATCTAGTTTGGAGCTCTGGTCACATCAAAGGAATCCTAAACCTGAAGCCTACATTCTTCTAGGGTGACAATGCCTACAAATGGACAAGGCAAGGCTTGAAGACTAGAAAATCTACCCACTGTGGTTGCATAAATTCTCTTCTTCCTTGTATAACATCCCTGAAGAAGCTACCTGAGGCAGATGCATTCACTCAGAGACTCAACCAATGCTCGCTGAGCAGAAACCATGATCCAGGAACTTACTGACTTATGGAACTTCACACAATCAAACTGGAAGCTGGTACTGCTCTCCCCATTTGTATGGACCATAAGTACTTTGTTCAAGGTTGTATAGCCAATAAACATTAGAGAAGATTCAAGCCAGGTCTATAGATTCCTGGCACACATATCTCTGCCTCACAGCTCTATGTCCCCTTTCCATGCTGGTCATACCAGAAACTGAACAGCATCTATCATTCTTTGAGAGATGAACCTGTAAATAAGAATGCTGATCTTGAAAAAAGGGGTGGCTTTCAGAATCAAATCTACACACTGCTTATAAAGCATACATTTCACTACTCCCTACGGCCAAAGAGATTTCCTCACTCAAGAGAAGGCCAAAGCTATTTAAAGTTGAACCTGAGCTGCCTGACCTTGACAGAATGATTTTACATTTTCTCCAAATGTCTTACACCTGCAATCATTAATTAAATAGACCTCATAAAGCAGATAAGCCTGACTCCACAAGAATGAGCGATTTTACTGTCCTGTGTCCACATAATCCTTGCTTATAAAGAACAGCCCTTTTTCATAGAAGTGATGCTCTCTTTAAGAAAGCAGAGGAGCCCTTGAGGTTTTGCCTCTACCTCACCTTCTCATAGGCTGTGGGGGTCCCAAAATGCATGGTGCGGGTTACATCTGTGGTTCCATCCCTTTCAAAAGTAGAAAAAGCAAGTTAGCTTTTAGTCAAAGTAAACTTTTTTTTACTTTCTCAAAAAAGTAAACTTTTTCTTTTTTTTTTTTTTTAAAAGTAAACTTTTTCTTAAAGGCAGGTGAGTACATGGAGAAATCAGAACCCTCAGACACTGCTGGTTTGAATGTAAGATGGAACACCCACTTTGGAAAACAGTTTGCAGATAACCTTTAACCTTAAAAGGTTAAACATCGTTACCATATGAGCCAGCAATTCCACTCCTAGGTATGTAGCCAAGAAACTTTAAAAACACATGTCTGTACAAAAACTTGCAGTATTAGTCATAATATCCAAAAAGTGGAAACAATCCAAAGGTCCATCAATGCATGAATGGATTAAAAAAAAGTTGCAATCCATACAATAGAATACTACTCAGCCATATAAAGGAATCAAGTGCTGATATATGTAAGAACATGGATGAACCTCAAAACATTATGCTAAGTAAAAGAAGCCAGACACAGAAGGCCATATGTTATAATGTAAGCACTTGTATGAAGAGTCCAGAATAGGTAAATCCACAGACAGAAACCAGAGTAGTGTATCTGTAGAATGAATGAAAAGGGGGGATGACTGATACTGGGTAGGAAATTTTCTTTTGAGGTGATGAAAATGTTCTAAAGTTGATCGAGGAAATGGTTGCACAACTCTGTGCACATACAAAAAACATTAATTTTATACTTTAAGTGGGAACATTATATCTAAATAAAATCGTTATAAAAATGAGACAAAGTGTGAATGGGAAAATGGCTTAATAAAGTTGGAGAAACTCAGCCCTGACATCCACATTCTTTTATTTTTTTTTTCTTTTATTATTCACATGTGCATACAAGGCTTGGTTCATTTCTCCCCCCTGCCCCCACCCCCTCCCTTACCACCCACTCCGCCCCCTCCCTCTGCCCCCCACCCCCTCAATACCCAGCAGAAACTATTTTGCCCTTATTTCTAATTTTGTTGTAGAGAGAGTATAAGCAATAACAGGAAGGGACAAGGGTTTTTGCTGGTTGAGATAAGGACAGCTATACAGGGAGTTGACTCACATTAATTTCCTGTGCGTGGGTGTTACCTTCTAGGTTAATTCTTTTTGATCTAACCTTTTCTCTAGTTCCTGGTCCCCTTCTCCTATTGGCCTCAGTTGCTTTTAAGGTATCTGCTTTAGTTTCTCTGCGTTAAGGGCAACAAATGCTAGCTAATTTTTTAGGTGTCTTACCTATCCTCACCCCTCCCTTGTGTGCTCTCGCTTTTATCATGTGCTCATAGTCCAATCCCCTTGTTGTGTTTGCCCTTGATCCAATGTCCACATATGAGGGAGAACATATGATTTTTGGTCTTTTGGGCTGACATCCACACTCTTGGTCTACAGTATAAGAACTGTTTCATGAGTCACTATCACTGGGGTTACAAATGAGAGGGAGGAGAACAAAGTGCATATGAGTCTATTTCTAGCAAATAGAGCTAAAGTCCTTTTCCTTCTGTTAGGAAGGCAAGAAATTTACTGGACAGAGACCCTAAAATACACAAATGCATCTCTTAACACACCCTAACCTACAAACCCCTTCACCAAAAGGACAATTTCCAGAATCCTGCTAAAATTCAAAAGTGAACAGTAGTTTACACCCTGCGTAAATACTTATGATCTCCATAGTGACAGTCACGTGTTCCAAGGCCAGGCTGTGGGTCACCCAGGAATGACTGAGCTCATGTGATAACCAAGTTCTCCCTTGCCCTGTCCCTACTGCTGCAGGAAATGGGGCACTTTGGGGCCTTGCTTATACTCTCAGTGCAGACAGTCTGTTCTCCCTTCTTCTCAGGGTTCCATATCCAGCTAAATCTCAGGTTCTCCTCTGAGAAACTATGCTAGATGGATGACCATGAAAACAGCAAGACATGAAGAAGGAAATTCACTAATTAGGGGTAGTCCTCATTTCTCATTCATTTATTCAAAATTATTCCTTACTTCATACGGCCCTGGGGTGGTTAAAAGCTCAAGGAGCTGGCAGGAAGTTTTATGTGCTAGGCGGAAAGCTTTCCTATGCTTCCAAAAGCTTGCTTCATTTCAGTTATTTATTTTATACTTAAAGAACTTCCGGCCAAAGACTAAACATTTCTACCAAGTACTCTTTTGTAGGGACAGAGTTACAACTGGGCTGTATCAACTAAAGGTGAAAAAAGGACAAGACAGAAATGACTCTGTCAGTGGCCAGTGCAGAATGAGATTAGCAGCTGGACTCGACTGGTTGGAGCTCAGCTTGTCCACCCACTCAACTGCCTTGAATCAGAGTCAAGTTCTATGGCAGCCCTGGTTCACTTACTTGTACTGAGCACCTGAGTCGATGAGGTACACTTCATCCAGGGACAAGGTCCTATTCGTCTCTGGGACCGGCCTAACAAAGTTAATTAAAAATTAGCTATTCCACAAATTTAAACATTTGGTGAATCTGAGAGAAGGGCACACAAAACATAAAACTCATTTAAGTCTAAGTATCAAAAGAAAAAGTCACTGAATAAATGAATTATTCAACTAGTATTAAACTTCCACTATTCAAAGACTGTCAATTTATCTCCTTAACTAGTTAAAAGGATTACACCTTTCTTTGTATCTACCTATATATGTCTGGAACAAAAAAGGTGTTCAAGAGATCATTACAAAAGCCATGAAACTAAGAAGATGGGTGTGGTGGAACACATCTATAATTCCAGCATTAAGGAAGCTGAGGCAGGAGGATCACAAGTTCTAGGCCAGCCTGGGCTATTTAGTGAGCCCCTATCTCAAAATAACAACCAAAAACAAAAGAAAGAAAGGAAGGAAAAAGAAAAGAAATAAGAGGGCCAAGCTCGATCCTGAGAATGGGGACAGCAGTGGCCTTACAAGTTGATTCACCTTGTTTGCCCTCGTCTCTGGGAACCCCAGGCCCTACCTCAGCCTCCAGGTCCCTCCCTACTTGCTTCTGAGACCAACAGACATGCAAGGGCAGGAGGAAAAGTCTCTTTAAAAGAAGTGGATCATGCTACTCTTATGCTGGAGTACTTTCCTCAAATAACTGTGAGGTATCTTAAAAAGTGATCCACTTTCCCCATGCCATTTTCTAGATAATATCACTGTACTGGGAACGTCAAAGGAATAAGAACATTCCAAGCTTCAGTCTGCCTCTCCAGCAGTGAGAACACTGTGTGCACACGAGCTGAGCAGCTAATCAGACATGAGCTCAGTCTCCAGGGCTCTACTTCTAAATAGGCTTCCAACAACCCACAACAAAGAAGCTGAAGGAGAAACAAATTTCTTCCCGCTTGGTTTGAAATTTTTAATGCTTTAATCATATGAAAAATTCCAGTATAGTATTCAGCCAGGACATTCATTATCTGAGTTAAACTGAAATCCCTTTGATATTTTTATGTTGGATCAGAAGGATTATTGTGAGAGAATTGACTGTCACACCTGTGACTATCTCCCACACACAGCTTCAACATCTGCCCCAAGACTAAAAGCTCTAAAAGCAACTATTTGAAAGCGTGAAAGAAAAGAGTTGTGCTCAAGTACAGCCCAGAGATAACTGAGCGTCCTTTCCCTAACTGTGCACATGGCAGATGGGGAGGCACAGGGCTCAAAACGTCCAATGCAGAGCAAAAGAGCTGAGCTGGGCAGTCAAGGTGAAGCCCCTTGACCACACCCAATTACACCCTCCTCTGCACAGGCAGAGCTGCAGGTCCTGCACACAGCAGTGCCCCTCTTGCCTCACAATTCACTGAGGTTTGGCTCTTTGGTTCCATGGGATCTCATAGATCACATAGGGAAAACTCCCCTACACGGGGATGCCAGGCCTCAAACCCAGGGGTCAGGGAGACTCTGTTATCTATCACCTCTCCACCCAAAACAGGTTGCCCCACCACCTAGTGGTACAATGTTGTGGTGTGTTGGTGACAGAGCTCACAAAATGGATGAGCAGTACATCAAGAAGGCTACTATTAACAGGAAAAAAAGAATTCCAGTCATCAAGGTGCAAGGGCTATGGGTACAGTTTTGAGTCTCAAAAGGGAAATAGGGACAAGCATTTGACTACATCGTGGAGAATATCAGAGCCATACTGAGCCTAAGAGGAAACTTCCAAAAGGCAGAGACTTGGAAATTTAGAGAAAATAAGACCTCCGTCGTCTTATCTCCCCTAACTTTACAGTCTCAACACATATAAGTGGGCCGGGGGCCTGTGGTAAAATAATGTCTCTCCCCTGCTCAGGCTCCTGTGCAGAAGCAGCAGCAAAGCCAGGCCTGTGCTCCTCCATCCGCATGCCTTACGCGTAGTGAATGATGGCGCCGTTGGGTCCCGTACTGGAAATCGTTGGGAAACTCAGGTCCACAAAGTCAGCCTGTTGCCTGGAACGGACACAGAGCAAATGGCTTAAGGATTTTCAGTGCACCAAGAATCAGGGCCCTTCAACCGTACTCAACTGCCCAGGACATCGACAGAGGTGCATGGGTTCATGGGTCTCCTAAGTGGATCCTTACCTGCGGAACTCCTCAGCTTTGTCAGCAGCTGAGATCTCTGTCACACCACCTTTGGGAACCTATGAGAAAATAGCTTATAAATCACCCAATGAGTAAACTCATGTGTGCCTCATGTGTGTTAGAGCAAGTACATTAAAAGCTTGCTTTTTTCTCAGTTCCCTTTTCCCAATTGTCTAATCTGCAGGACACAGTGTGTGTCTCCTCTTGTTAACAGGTAGGGAACTTCCACAGGCTTTCACCAAAGCTATCTAAAGTAGAAGGGTTTCTAGTCATTTAATTTTTCACTCAACTCTTTTGCCACAGCACTATATCGCCAAACTTCCCAAAACTTAATGCATCTAAGTTCACAGCATCCCTTCCGAGGCAATCACCCTAAGACAATTATAAAAAGAGTAAGTGCAAAGGTTTTACTGTATGGTTATTGATCATGGGAAAAATTAAAAACCACTGAAATAATCAAAATGAGGCAGAATGGGCAAGTAAGTCAATCTAGCCATTCCATGCAGTCACCATTCAGATGGTCCTTTTTAAAGCCTCAAAGCACAAGGAAAATGCTCAACTGCACAATCCTACGTGAATAAAATAAACCAAATACAATCATATTGCATACACAGAAACATAAAATCACTTGTATTTTGAAAACTGATTTATACAGATGACACAGAGCCAGAAGGAAATACAAATTTTAAAAAAGTTACACTGGTGGGAAAAGGCAGAAGTCCTTTTTCCAATTAAAGAGTTGGGAGCATGGCTCAAGTAGCAAAGCACCTGCCTAGCAAGTGTAAGACCTTGAGTTCAAACCCCAGTGTGTGTGTGTGTGTGTGTGTGTGTGTGTGTGTGTGTGTGTGTGTGTGTAATTTAAAAGGAACATGACATTGTTTAATAGAATCATAAAGAAATCACCCTATTAGACAAGAAATTAATGGCTAAAAGTCAATTTAATATAAAAAGTGTATGGAAGCTGGGTGCTGGTGGCTCACGCCTCTAATTCTGGCTACTCAGGAGACAGAGATGAGGAGGATCACAGTTCAAAGCTAGCCCAGGTAAATAGTTCGTGAGACCCTATCTCAAAAAACCCATCACAAAAAAAAAAGGGCTGGTGGAATGGTTCAAGGTGAAGACCCTGAGTTCAAACCCCAGTACAAAAAAAGTTTTATGGCTAAGGTTCAAAATGTGCACAAAGATCTTCTTCCCTAAAACAATCAGCTTGCCCATAATAATATTATAAGTTAAATTCCACTTAGTTATGACTCCCCAGAAAGGATCCACTCTTTTATGGAATTTCTTTCTTCCTCCTTGTTACTATTTTCTACAATTAAAGAATCTTTACATATACACACACAAAATTACAGAAAGAGCTACCATAAGCGAGTACTAAAATTAGATCAAGAAATTAAACCTCATAGTCAGTAGAGCCCGGGGAAGGCCATGGTTACAATCACATGTAGATATTTCAGAATAATCTATAGTCATATGTTCAATGAAGACTAAGAACCAACCTCTTTCTCCAACCAGTTAAAGAGTTCACAGAGGGCAACAGCATCTTTAATCTGTGCAAACAATAGAGAAATTTTTTAAGTTATTACTGAGAGTGAGATGGCCAGAATCAGAGTCCAGTCCTACAGTGACCCTGGGGAGGTTGTGCCCACAGAGTCACAGACCATCAGCAATCAGGGTTTTACTTGTGGACATTTCCTGGCAACCAGTTTGCATCAATTCCCCTTGTCAGAGAAAGGGCTCCCCCGCTATTTAGTTGTTGAGTATAGGCAAGAAGGGCCCAACCTCACAGCACAGGCAGTTCTCCCAAAAGGCTCCTGCCCTAGCCTTTTTTTCTTTTTTATTATCATCACATCCTCACCACTCTCTACACTACCATTATCAGTGTCATGTGCTAATACTTAATAAAGCTCAACCCATCAAGTTTGGTTTTTCTTTTTCTTTTGAAATGGGGATCTCACTATGTAGCCCATTCTGGCCTTGAACACATGATCCTCCTTCCTCTGCCTCCTAGTGCTGGGATTGCAGATATGCATCACCATGCTCAGCTCCCCATGAAGTATTTTATTTTATTCTCTCACTAACTCTGGAAGACCAGGAGGATCACAGCTCAGAGAGATTCTGACCTTGTACCACTCCCAGGGCCACACAGCTGGTGAGAGACCTGGACCTTCTAGCCAAACTCACATCCATCTTCTACACCAGCTACTCTACTCACGTGAGCCCGTCTCATGCCTTCTGACTCGGCTGTATTCTTCACAGCTTTGGCAATGCAGATGGGGGTGTAAGGCATACAGCAGCGATGATCCTAGGGGCAAGGGCAGGAGAATGGGAAACAGCCTGCTCACCTGCCCAGACCATGGTAGCCACCTCTTTGCCCAGAAAAACACCCTTGAGACAAATCATTTGAAGAGCTCCCACTCGGGACCCAGGAGCTGTCCCATGGAGCCTAGAGATCTGCCCCTGAGCGTGATGAAAGGGGCTTGGGCTCCTTGGAAAAGAGCAAGTACATCAAATAAGGCATCCTCCTCCAGTCCCAGCCCCCACAGCTCTTTGAGATGCTGGCCGCCTGCCACAGGCAAGGGATTATTTTCCAAGTCTGGTGGTTGTGTTCAGAGTTCACTGACTGCTCAAAGTCTGACTGAAATAGCCCCTCCTGCTACACAAAGGAGCTTCTCTCCCCTGTCTGGGAAGGCAGGTGACCTGATGAGGGAGGTCTCCTGCTCTCTCCCCCTCCCACTCAGAGATCACTCTGAGCTACCACTAATGATCTGATCTTAAAGGGCTGGGGGAGACCCTTCCCAATTTGAGAATAAGAATCCAGCCCTTTAGGAGTGACTCAGTGCACTTGGCACTTTCACAGCGCTTCTCATATTGCTTTCACTTCTCTCTCTCTTTCTCTCTCTCTCTCTCTCTCTCTCCGTCTCTTCTCCTCCCCCCACCCCACTTCCTCTCCTTCTTCCTCTCTATCACACACCATGAAACAGGGAAGGCAAAAGTGAACCCTACTTGGGTCAAGGAAATAAAAATCTAAATAACTGAATGGATTGCCAAAGGTCATCCACAGTGTGACATTGGCAGAGCTACAATAGCAAGGCAGATCTACAAAAGCAGGGGCCTGGGTTCTTCCCCAGATGGCCTACTGCTCAATGAAAAAGAGAGGCATTGTTGAGATACCAAGGCCACTTAGCAACCAGAGGCCGAGGGAAGGACAGCAGAAAAGCCCCCATCTAAAGAGGCCTGGATTTCAGTCCTGCCCTAGACACTAACTAAAAAGAATGAAGCAACAGGTATTGGCTGCTTAGCACCACCCAGCAAGGGCTCAGGAAAGGGCAAGGCTATCACTATCATTTGATCTTTGACAAATGCCAAACTCTCCAGCCTCTCTAGACCTCAAGTCTCCTTATAGTGAGAAGTGGGGTACGTGCAGCAAAGTATATCCCAAAACTGAGGCATGCTCACACCACTTGCACAACTTTTGCCCTAGCTCCTATCCTCTGTACCCATACATACTCTGTTTTATCTTAAAATTTTTTCACAACATTGTGGTCTCATATGCTACTTACAATTTTTTTCTTGTGGACACTAAATGCTGTTAAAACAGACACATTTAAATTAGCCTAAATATTAAAGTGTGGCAACTACAATTATATTTCATGCCATATGCTAGAAGACATGGACCTCAATGAGCTCAAAGAGTCTCAGACCCTCCATGTGGCTCCAGCTCTAGGGCTCATCCAGACAGACCACAGCCTGGAACCCAAGGTCTCTAATCCAAAGACAGAGCTATCAGATACCAGAACTGGGAAGGGAGTGGCAGGGATTAGAAAGGTCAGAGTGGGGCCACTAACCTTGGGGATGGCCTCACTCACAGCATAGCTGGCCTTGTCACTGACCCATACTTTCTCCCGCAGGGAAAGGTCAGCACACAGGGTCTTGAGCTCACTCAGGATCGACTTATAAGGAAGCACCTGGATTCTGTATTCGGCCTCCAGACCCAAGTCAAGGAGCAGGTGCTCTTTCACACTGGGGGCATCTATGCGGTCCCCATCAATGAAGAGCCTGCAGGAGGCCAGAGGTGGGTGACAAAAAAAGGAGGACACATGAGCAAATGGGTTAGAAAACACACATAACACACACACAAACCACGCAGCTTTTCCTCCCTCCCCACTCCCTTTCTGACTCCTGTCTTCCAAATCGTATTCCCTGTTCCTGTATATAGCATCATCATCACCCAATTCCTCAAGCCAGAAACCTGAGCAGGTCTTGGGACCTATATTTCCATCACATCTGTCCAACTCTGTCTATAGTTCTACCAGATAACCACTGATGCACAGGCCACCACCACCTATCAGCCTCCAAGTCTTGCCCCATTCTTTTTTTCAGTCATAAAATTCTTCATAATTTCTTCATAATTTATAAGTATAATCATGTAATTCCCACTGAACGATTCATTCAGTAGCTCTTTGTTGTCTTCAGGACAAAAGCCTGAGCTCCTATGCTTAGCCAACAGGCCTTTCTTTTCTGTGGCCCCTGCTCACCTTCTGGCCTTACACCCTAGGCTCAGACTACACTAAACCACTTCAGGTCATCCACACACCACTCTCTACTGCGCAGAGCCTCTGAAAATGCTTTTCCCTCGTTTTGGATCATGTTGACCATTCCTCCTCACCCCACCATTCATTCACCTATTGACTCAATCTTTGCTTCAATATTACTTTCCCTAAATGTCTCCTCTGACCCCCAGTCCAGACTAGTCCCTCCTGGCAAGCTGGTACTCATTTATGTGCCCAAATCCCTAAGGAAGAGAGACACTCATCTCCCCACTAAAACCCAGGATCACATCTATGCCATTCAGTCTGACACATTACAGAGGCCCCTGGCACATAGTAGGCACTCAATAAATGTGTTATCTCAATCAAGAAAGCCATCCAATAGAAAAACAATGACGGGAAAACTGCTCTGAAAAGATAAATTGACAATTCAACAAATCACAGTTCAGGTGGTTCCCCCTATCCTTTCTAACCTTCAAAGTCATTGGCTCATTTGCATTGGGATTGGGGGCCCAGAATAGCATAACTGAGCCTATATACAACTTTCTTCACTGGCTGCTAGAAAACCTGAAGTGAGATATGTGACCTGAACAAAACCATGCAGCAGGAATTTTGTGAACTAACCTCACATCAACTTTGTCCTCACCTACTTATTTCTTAATCTCATGGTACTATAAACACTTTCACAGATTTTAAAACATTGTGGGGGGAGGTTAAAAAATGGGCAGGATATAAACATTTACTCTTAAAGAAGACAAGAAGGGAAAGGGGGAAAGGGCAGGTACAAGGCAGCACACCAGCAAAGCATCAGCTGTGACTGGTGGATGAGGGCCACAAAGGGGACCCTAGGGCTCAAGGAGCTGTGGGGAGGAAGTGCAGGTGGCAGGTAAACACTCACATGATTGTCTCTAGTCCTATGATTGCATAGGAAAAAAATACCGGGTTGTGCTCCACGTCTGATCCTCGAAGATTGAATAGCCCTAAAAAAGGAAAGCAAAGTCCCTGTCACCTGCCTGGCTCCCAAATCAAGTTGAAGACGAAGCCTGTGGAGGAGGGGAGGGCTTCAGCTTGGAATCCAGTTACTATCAAAGGATTCAATGGTATCTCTCAGAAAGACAAGGAACCTTACTCCTGGTTCCACGTCTGAGCTGCAACTGTTGGTGTCCACCACCTGATGGCACCAGAACTGTTTCTTATGCCACTGCACCACTGTCCTGGGAAAGGTTATAGGAGAATTCTTGGTCAGAAACATAAGAAATGCCCCCAACCAAACAAAAAGTTGAAATGGCCCACCTAGTGGCGGTGACCTGCCAGGCTTGGCTTTGCCATACACAAACCCCTGGTTCCTCCAAATGTAAGGAGAGGAAACAAGCACTCATCCTCTCCTAAAGCAAATGACCTAGGTAGAAAAACTAAGACCAACGCACTAGGAGGCCAAATAAAGGCACTTCCAAGCCTCATGGCAGAGGAGTATAGAGAAGCAGTGAGTCATGAGGCTGGAGCCCATGAATGAAACCAGAGCCTGAGGCCCATCTATGGCCCACCCTTAGCCAGGGTCCAGGGTCTGGTGAGGTCACTGAACATTCGAGAAACAAGAGCGAACAGTAGAGAACACAGCTCCAGTCCCAGGGCTTCCAGGAACTGAGTGCTTGGTCTCAGGATCAAAGGGCTAAAGGCCCTAGCATAAAAAGTGCAGACTCTATTTTAACAGGATAGTTTCTCAAGTAAAGCAGAAAGGCAACATTTTTCACCTCTCATCCTAGTGCTTCAAGGGAATAGAAAAAAGAGAATACCTAGGGCTGGTGTGACAGGATGGGTCAAAAGGCCTACTACATACATACCCTCAACTTGTAATATTACCCCTAAAAGCCAATGAGAAATAGGTAGATTACCAGAAACAAACATTGATTCATGAACCAAGATTAGGATCGTAGCATATTAATAAACTGTAGGAAAACTGGAGAAAACCAAAGGTTATTTGAGAAATGGTTAAGTGTATTATACTATAACCATTTGATGAAATATTTAAGTTAAAATTTTGCTTACAGATATCTATAATATACAATAAATCAGACTGCAAAGTAAAAGATGCATAGAAATATTAATAGTGATTATCTCTGGGTAATAGAATTACAGGTGATTTCTCTTCTTCCTTCTACTTCTGCATTTTCCAGGTTTTCCATAATGGGAATGTGTTTGTTATACCCATGGTGAGAAACTAGCTTTGTATACTTTTTCTCTGGTGTTGAAGTTGTTATGTTAAAAAGGGATATAAATCACTGATTATTTGACAAAGTTTGGGGTACTGAAGAGATAAAATGGGGACTGAAGAGACAGGACACTGTATAGGAGGGTCTCTTTCTCTAGTGAGAAGGTAAAAAAACGTGAGCCTCTTCTCAGTTGCCCTGAGTCAATCCAGTCAGAAAACAGATAGGAAAAGAAGTTTCAACCAGATTCCTTTAGGCTCTGGAAGATGATAGAAGGTTCTGAACAATTACATGGGGGCAGTTTAAAGTCTAAAGATTGAGAAACTGCTATTATCAAAGGGCCTAGAGAGGAATCTTTAGTTTCTGAGTTTTCTCAGGCAAAAATATCTCCAGACCTTTCTCACTGTGAAGACCCTGGAAAAACTACATGGAAAGTATAAAGAAAAAACCTCCTATGATCCCACTTCTATACTTGCAGAGAGGCTGACAGACAGGAAACATTTGGAGGAGATGTCCATTAACAGAGGTGTGGCTGTAACACCACCCTGAGCAAGGATACTGGGACCTCCCCTACTTTCTCCCTCATCCTAATTGGCATCTCCTATATCCATTTGGCAATACAATCTTTTGCTTATCCCTGGCCACTCAGAAAGCTGAATGTGTGAACACACAGATCCCCAGAGGTCCACAGGAGACATCAGCTAACATGCACAACCAGTGAAACCAGATCACTCACATGCAATCTCATCTAGAGCCGTGACCACAAACCACACGATGTTCCTCTCAGCCATTTTCAATCGGAGGTCTGCAACCTTCTCCTTCCAGGAGATGCCTGCAAGAAACAAATGTACTTATGACTCCAACCCTTGTCCCAGGAAGCCACAGGAGTAATCCAAATACTCTTACCCAGCTCCCCATCTTACAGACAGCATGTTTCCTGCATAGGCAGCAGGCCAAGATTTAAGCCCTACAGAAGAGGTAAGATGCTGACAAGCCACTTGACTCTCATGAATCCTGACTACCTCACTAGCAAAATTTTATTCATTTGTTCATCTAGACTTGCCAAGCACAGACATCTGCCAGGGACCATGCTAGTCAATGCAGTTACAGCTCTGGACCAGACTCAGTCCCTGTCTTCATAGGGCTTACAATCTACAAAAGACGACAGACAATTAAAGCAGCAACTATACTATTGTATAAAGACTGCTGCAATCAAGAAAGCACAGAGAGTTGTGCGGACAGACCTCCCAACAGAGAGAACTCACTCAGCCTCACCAGGTCAGGAGAGAATCACTTTATATTCCTTAGACTCCAGACTTGCTTTTAGTGTTAAAACCTAGGAATTTCCTGCAGACTGACTCACTATGACTATCACCTCCTAACCACACTTGCCCTGTTAGACACAGTCAAGGACTCCCTGCTGCTCCCCAGGATGAAACTGCAGCCCCAGAGGAACTTACCCCACTGCCACCATGACTACCCAACCACAGTGCATTTTTAACTCAGTTTACAACAGCCTGTGAAGAAAACAGTCATCTGTCTTATGAACCAGGCACCTAGCAAGTGAACAGCACAAAGAAAGCACACAACTATTGGCAAAATGAAACTTTACCAGCAATATTTGCTCTCCTCTCTCCTGTAGTAACAGGTCAGAGCCTCTGCTTCAATAAAAACAATTCAAACCATGCTGATGGAAAACATTTAGCTGGCCCTGGGTACTTACCCTGTCTTGCCCCATCCCCCACCCCATGTGCAGCACCCCCCAGTGAGGGTATCACACAGGAAAACAGGCTGGGGGCTGCCCCACAACCAAGGCTGCTTTGAAGATCACTAGGGAATGCTGTTTAAAATTTGGCTCAGAGTCTGAGCTGTAATGCTTTCTTCCCAGGACCCCTCTGGGCAATCTGCCTACATTCCAGACGTCCCCATCCACCTCTCTGTTTCTATAGCAAGGCTCCCTCCTCTGCAGCCCCACCTTCCACGTCTCTCCCTCTGCCCTTCACTGTTTTCATAAATCCACACATTTGTCTCCCACAAACATTTGCTGGAACACTGCTTACACACCATTATCATACAAGCCAAGGGGGCACCCACACCCAAACCTCTAAAACACAGAAGATCCAAGATGCTGGGCAGGGCCTGGAAGATAAACCTACAAATGCTAACATAAGGAAAGGAAATGGATCTTAGAAACTCTAGGCTGTATTTCACTATCACACATAGTACAAGGGCAGTTAGCAGCTGAGGGGTAAATAGCTTAGTCTTCTCAGCAGCACCCAAAAAGTCACCCAGAAGAGCTTTGCAAAACTAAATTAATCTAAAGTAAGTGTCAATTAGGAGGCAACAGTGGAAACCAGTAAAGCCTGTGCTGTTGTCAAATGTCCCACTATGCCAAGGTGGGGCATGGTCTTTCCATCAGCTCAGACTCGACTTTGCTACAGAGAACCAGGATAGAGACAGGGCATGAGGTGAGGCTGGGCCCTGGGCCCTGTGGGCACAGATGTGTTCAGACCTGTATAATCCAGGCCCAGTGTGAGGAGGGGCCTACAGGGCCGCTCGGGACGATCCGTCCAGATTTTGTCAACAAGGTTGTCCTTCACAGGAACCAGGTGGTGGCCGGCACTTCGCAGGACCTTGGCCATCTTCTTCCAGTAATCTGAGGAGACATGCATGTGGCCAGCCATATGATTGCAATTTCATCTGAAGCAGGTTGCAGGGCCTTGTGGGCCTGGCCCCTTCTGAAAGGCACTCTATGGCTCTCCCAGTGCTGGAGCACAGGGCAAGGAATTGTTTAAGACATCTACACCACCCATGGCCTTCCCTGCCTCTCTCTCAGAACTCTTTTTCTCACCTTGACCTCTAGCATGACAAGTCATGCTGAGCCCCACATGCTCCACACCCCCAAGAAACAGGGAAGATGAAGGAGTTTAGAAGCCATTTCCTTACCCATGCCTCAAGGGACCAAGCTTATTCACCTGTAGGAATGATCAGTGGGTCCACACCCACCCTGGATCCTTCCGGAAGCACACTCACCAGCCAGTCTTCCTGAGTTGGTGTGTCCTTCAGACCTAGGAGGAAAGATCTGATAAGAAACATCTCCCAGAACAATGCGATCCACCAACCCCATCACAGCAGGGATCTTCTTCAAAGTGAACTGGCAGGACTTGGAAAATCCAAGCCTCCCTTACACTCGAAGGCTACAGAAAGAGAGGGAGCCATGTGAGATGGCATGCAAGGAAGCATAAGGTAAGGTTAAAATAAAAGGGGAAAAAGCCTGATTGCCATTCGGCTCCTGGTAAAAAGTATTACCCTGGTATTGTGGCAGTGTATGTGTACAGTGCCATGTCAAAGATCACCTCCTCAGCATTCTGTCACATTCTCTCTAATGGTCACCCAGTGAGGACACGGATGGTGATTTGGTGAAGGCTGGGTGCTGGAAGCCACGCTAATGTCACACACCAGGCAAATGGACAACATGCCACCAGTGCTCTCCCCTCACATACAAGGCCAAGGTCTCAAAGAGAAGTCCCCCTGTCCATAGCCAGCCTGACTAGAGTGCTGAGCACAAATCTTGCCTGAAAAGAAATTTTTCCAAAATTAAAGAGGGATATGAAGGAGTGTGCTACATCGTAGTCAGCACAGCCCCCTGGGCTTCCCAACTCCAAAGAGCAGACAGCCCTTCTTCTTAGTACAAGACTAGTCACAGAAGAGAGTGGGAAGACAGGTTTTTAAGCAGAGTCCATTGTTGTGATAGTGACAGAGCGAATTTCAGAAGGGTGATGTTGAGAAAGGCAAGAAGATTTTTGTTCAGAAGTGTACACAGTGTCAATCCATGGAATAGGGAGGCAAGCACAAGACTGGGCCAAATCTCTACGGTCTGTCTGAGCGCAAGACAGGTTAGGCCGCTGGATTCTCTTACACAGATGCCAACAAGAACAAAGGCATCACCTGGGGAGAGGATACACTGATGGAGTATTTGGAGAATCCCAAAAAGTACACCCTGGAACAAAAATGATCTTCGCTGGCATTAAGGGAGAAAGGGCAGATTTGATAGCTTATCAAAAAAGTTACCAATGAGTAATAGCCATTGCCTTATTTATTACAAAACAGAGATGTCACATGGCTTTTTTATGTGTACCATAATTTAATCTTATAACACCAGAATTTAGATCATGAATTCTGAATTGGACAGTCCTGATTTAAGTAAAATTGGCTTGTAGTTAAGTCAATGAGGTCTTTTTAAAAAATAATAATAATAATTCCAGTTAAGTAAATATAATTCCAGTTAAGAAATATTGTCACCATTTTTCCTTTCTAAAGATATGATTAGCCTTAATTAGTATAATGTTCAACTTTTCACAGATGGAGAATACCATCTCAAAACAACTGGTTATGTGAGTATGTGTAAATACTGGTAAATTCCCTTCACTATCTCAAAACTAAGAAAGACTCGCCTATGTTTCAATTTGTGATCATTTGCCTATAAAAGGTAATGTTGAAGATAAGGAGGCAATGTCTACATTTTTGGTCTTGACTATACCAATTGAAGTAGAATTCCCTGTATTTAAAATGAGGCATTTTAGTGTGGTTTATGCATAATATCAAATAAAGAATATTTAACACTTCTCACATTTCATGGTTGATCTATAAGTTCAGATGCTTTTAAAAATGAGTATGATAGGTCCAATAGCAAATTAGACTTTACTTTTGAATTCTTTTAAGCCACACTAAGTTATAATTCAGGATTGTCTTTAAACAGTTATTCAGAAGCACAAAAAACTGTGGCACTACTGCGTATGTGACTGGTACTGGTGTTCTTTGCCAACTCATTAGACAGAAGTAGAGGGGATAATAATTTGCATATTATGTGGCCATAAGACTTAAGATAATTAAAAACAAAACTCACATTAAAAAAAAAAAAAAGGCCAGTCACAGGACACCAAATCAGCTTCACAAAGGAACTAAAATTATTTTTATAACCTAGTTTTCTTTAATCAAGTCTATATATACATTTTTTTTAACTAATCAGATTTTTGCTAAACCACATCCTGGTAAAATATATGTATATTTAGGGAAAAAGCTCGCATATTCTAAAACAGCACTTATTCTTGCCATTTTGTCTTCTGACTCCTGATATAACTGTATAGCCACAGAAAGGAAGTTCAAAAGTTTATAAAGAAATGAGTTCATGACTCCGAGTTCTAAAAACCTGCCTGTAGGCTGGCATGGAATTTTATTTTGCTATTTGATTCTTTCCTATTTTGTTTTTTACAAACAACTAAACAAGCCACCTGATTAACGAAGTTTTTCTTGGGGCTCCTGGTATAATTTTTGCAGGATGAAGACACCTCATTTCCTAGCAGACAGATTTTTGGCAAAACCTGAGAGTGAGTCATTCACTGGCTAGTGGAACCTACCAAAATCTCCCTACCCAGGGGGCATGCCTAAGAAAGATATGTTTAGGGACATATAGCAAAGTACAGAGGCCTTGAAAGGAGAACAACACACTCCTCACCCCAGAGCCACCACATCCCTTCTGTAACAAACAGGCAGACAATTCACGACTCTGACTCCATAACACTAACAGACCTGACAGCTTGAGGCCATCCTCTCAGTTTTCCTTGGACTCTCATGGAGGGTCCATGATATTATACAAAAGTTAAGATCTGGCCAGACACCAGTGGCTCACGCCTGTAATCCTAGCTGTTCATGCTCCAGAGCCAACCCAGGCAAATAGTTCATGAGACCCTATCTTGAAAAATCCTTCACAAAAATAGGGCTGGTGGAGTGGCTCAAGGTGAAGGCCCTGAATTCAAGCACTAGTACTGAAAAAAAAAAAGTTAAGATCCAAGAGCCCTGAGGAATTCACAACCCCTGCCAAGATGAGGCCAGCTTAGGTGGGGCTGGCCATGTCTCTACCTACCCATTTTCATGAGTGTCCAGTTGCTGTCCATCTGCTTGGCTGCCTGGAGAAAATAGCGCCCATCAGTCCACATGGCTGCATGCTCTTCTGTGATGATGGCCGTGCCTGAAGCAGCAGAGCACAAAAAAAAGAAAGGTTTCTGACCACTGCCCGAAATGGCAACAGGCAGGCTAGAGTGGTGAGAGGCACCAGCTCCCAGTGGGGCAGATGGGTCCTTGACTAGAGAATCTCCAGGTAAGAGAACAATGCCACTAAGAACCAACTGTTGGTCAAGCTCAGAAGAAATCAGCCACGAGCTCTGACTGCCTGGATGCTGCTTTCTGCATAGAAAGGACACCTACATAGGATCAGTGGAGGCCAGAAGAACAGAGGATTATAGACCTATGGCCAAAATGGTCTCATAATCAAGAAGGCAGAGGTAGGAAGGGTTCTGCTAGGCAGACACAGGCAATTCTGTAGTCTGCCATACATCCCAATGGAGCAATTCCACCCTTTCAAGAGACACACCAACTGGACCCAGTGAGTGTTCAGTGACTCAGTAGTCACCAACCAGCAAAGGCTTGTGCCTCCTACCTCTACCTGCCCTCCATTCCCACAGGCCTGGCAGATCTCAAAACTTTCAACAGAGACATCAGCCAAAACCAACCCAAATGTGCCAACCAACACAAGCACTTACGCCAAAGGAAGCAGTGTGCTAACCACAAGGGGAACAGGGCTCCCACCTTGTCCAGCTTGCTTAAGAGATGGGGATTTGAAGGGAAAACCACCTGAAAACTCAAGGGTATAAGAGTGTGGAAAGGGGCAGGATACAATGGAACTCAACATTACCCTTTGTTATTTAAGTCAACAGAGAGACCAAAAGCACTTGGAGAATTATATGGTACCAATAAGCTAAGGCAGGGGGTTTCTACAGTGCTATTAAAGTCCCACTTCTTATTTAGGGTGCTAGTTGCAAAGACATTTTCAGCTTAATTGACACTACCTTCTGTATGTATGTCACGGTCAATAAAAAGCTCAATTTTTTTTTAACAAATTGTTTAAACTTTGAAAGCAAAGGTACAGAGAAGAGCAAAAAGTCATTAAAAAGGTGGTCTTGGTGATCTGGAAAAGACTGAGAATTTCTCTGCAGAGGCACAATGGGGAATATCTGGTTTGCATTTTCTTTTTGGTTGCACATCATAACTTGGTTCAGTTATTTTGGGAGGCACACACAGATAGAGAAGGACAGAGAGAATTTAGTGACTCACCCGCAGAGCCATCAAATCCAGAGACAAAGGCACGCCGGCAGTCACAGGGAGCAATGTACTCGCTCTGCCAAGACAACAATGAATTAGACCTCCATCAGTTGTACCTGACTTCTTTCCACTTGCTAAGCGTGTTAGGTCAGGTGAGGACTATAAAAGTTCGGGAGTTCTTGGCTCCTTCCTTCAAGGAGCCAAGAGGCCTGCTACAAAGCCAAGGTGAACATCAAATTAAAGAAAAACATCAGCTAGGTGTGGTAGTACACAGCTGTAATCCCAGCACTCAGGAACAGAGACAGGAGAATCATGAATTCAAGACCAGCCTGGGCTACACAGTGAGTTCAAGGCCAGTCTGGAATACATAATGAGACCCTGTCTCAAAAAAAGAAAAAACTGTACACATGGGAAGAGACTACAATTAAAGATGTTTATCCCCTTCGGCCTCTATTTTCCCATTTGGCGAACAAAGCGAGTAAAGAGAAACAGATAAAAATTGCTCTTTCCTCCATAAGATCTCATTCAAAAACAAACCAATAGCCTTCTCTCTCCCATGTCTCTGACATTTAGGCAGCTGTTATTTTTCTGAAAAGTGAGCTGCATTTCTGTTTTAAGTGCCAACAATTCTCTAACTTAAGTCTCTTTAGACATTAGCTTGTTTCTGAACTTCCTGTTTGCATCCCCTCCAAGGTAGCATCACACTCTCTCCCACACAGGCCCTGTCCCTTCCTGTCAGGGAATGGACGGAAATGCTTCCTCAGCCCAGGGGCTTCAGCTAAAGAAAATATATCCAAAACCAGGCCCTTCCCACTGCGAATCCTCTTGCCTCTGAGTGGAAGGGGTTAAAGAGTGAACAAAGTGAGGGATTCTCCTGCCCAGAAGGGGGGGCATGAATCCATCTATGCAACTTCTGGTAACCACAGAAAGGCACAGAGAGTTTAAGTAACTGACCTAAAGTACACAGCAGAAGGAGGATTTGAACCAGGGCAGTTGTTCCAGAGCCTTGATTCTGAAGACCTATACCAAGCTGACCCTACATGACACATTGTCTCTCATCCTCACAACTCTCCAGGAAAAGACAAATAGAAAGTGAGCAAAGTGAGGTTCAAAGTCTTTAACTTGCCCTCTGACATCCTGATGATGGGCTAGGATCCAAGGCCAGTTCTGCTTGAGTTCAGAGCTGCTTGTCCTTCTACCATTAGCAGGTTTTTGCCTAAGCCAAAGGACCCAGCAAGGTTAAGAGTGTTCGCCTAGGCAAAAAGCTACACGCCTGTAATGCCAGCACTTGGGAGGCCGAGAAAGAATTGAGTTTGAGGCCAGCCTGGACTACATAGTGAGACCTTGTTGTCAAACAAAAAACAAAACAAAACAAAAAAAGAATGCTGAAGGCTGAAGGTGGGGAGTGGGACTGCTGCCTGGAGCCTAAGGTATTTTTGAAACAGTCAACATGACGTAGGGAAAAAAGGCACCCATATTCCACTTCTGCTGTGTAGATAAGTGTTGCCCCTTTCACCAAGGCTCCTGCAATCAGCCACAGGACCCTCCAGGGAGCTGCTGAATGGCCAGCTGAGAAAACTACCACGGGCCACACTTGCCCTCCAGCTCAGGTCCAGCTATGTATGCTGTGGCCAGGCCTGGCACCTCTCAGTTGCTCAACTCCAAAGCATGTTATTCCCCACTGCTAAATGCAACAGCAGGCATGTCTTTTGTCCCCAGAGCAAAGAACATTTACCAAATGGCCCTAAGGAAACAAAAGAAACAGTCATCAGCATTGTTTATGAACCACAGAATCCTTATTTATTAACCCAGTGATCACTGGGTGCAAGACTTCAAGAAAAGAAAAGCAACAATAGGAGAGGGGTGTCTTATCCTCAGCTCCTAGGACTGCCAGGAGGGACAGTAAGTTAATGTTAAAGACCTCACCAGAAACCTGAAAGTCATTCACATACACAGTGGAAGAGAGATTACTCAACTCTTCTTCCTGAACAGTAAGAAAACATCTTAGGACCTGGGACAACTAAGTTAACAAAAATCGCCCATCACTGTGCACAAGTAAGCACACAGAGTGAGGATGCTCTCAACAAACAGGGTTCCAGGAGTTGACCCTCCTACCCACGACCCAGTGAGGATGCCACAACAGCTGCCATGCTAGTCTTGCCATGGGACTCTCCGCTCAAGGCCACCATTCTCCAAGGAGGCCCCGGTCTCATCTGAACAAGTCTGGGAGGAGGGATGGGTGACCCATGGGGTTTACCTTGAGTTCCCTGTCAGAAGGCAGGGGAAGGATTTCTCCGAAAGGAGAGAGAATTAACAGCAGATGGACATGTTTAGCTTGGGACGCAGACGAGGTCTGGGGCAAGAACCAGACATGACCTAAGTGGTCAACATGCCAGAAAGACATTGCTGAGCAAGGCTGGCAGCAGCCTTACCTCCACACCGACAAGCTAACCAGAGGCCAGACAAGCACTGGGCCGGGCCTGTGCTCCTCCCCAGCCATGAAGCTAAAAGACATTCTTCCCAAAACACTACAAAGGGCCTAAAATAAGTGTGCTGGGGAAAAGGCACAAAGAAGCACAACTTTGGCTTTTTCTCCAAAATTTCCCATTCTCTTCATCTCTAATAACAGGGCTCAGTCCAAGCCCCCATCACCTTCACCTGGTCTACTGCCCCTACAATCCACTCCCCCTGCACACTGGAAGTGAGTATTTCTAAAATACACACACACACACACACAGCAGACCACACAACCCCCTTAAAACAGTGGCTTCTGTTATGGTTAGAATATGAAGTGTCCCCGACAGGCTCATGTGTTGAATGCTTGGTCCCCAGCTGGTGATGCTATTTTGGAAGGTTCTGGAAACTTTAGGAGGCAAGCATCTAGTTGGTCACTGGGGAGCATGCCTCCCCTCTCTTCCTCCCCTCTCTCTGCTTCCTGACTGCCATGAGGTGAAGAAGCAGCTCCACCACATACTCCCACCCATCACCGTATGTTCTGACACGCAACAATGGACTGAACTGTCTGAAGCCATGAGCCAAAATAAATCTCTCCTTACTTTGTTCTCTCAAGTATTTCAGTGACAAGAAAGCTAATACAGCTTCCTATCACATTTAAGAGAAAATCCAAATCCTGGCCTGGTCCCCAAGATACCACCTGATCTGGCCCTGCTGTCCTCTGGGAACTCTCTTTCCAATCTCCCAAATGTCACAATGCACCAGACATACCAGCCTTTCTGCTCTTTGTATATCCTGAACTCACTGCTGCCTCAGGAACTTTGCACATGCTTTTCCTTATTTCTATAAAGTTTCTCTCTCTCTCTCTCTACCTCTCTCTCTATGCATGTATATATGTGTGTGTGTGTGTATGTGTGTGTGTGTGATTATGGCAGTCTAGCTCTTCCTCATCATCTTTCAAATCAAATGCCATAGAGAGGGCTGCCTCCACTACCCAGATAATACAGCCACCTGGCCACTTTGAACTCTGTTTAGAACATTTTATGGATTTTTCTCTTCTTAGTGAACATTTTTATGGTATTATTCCCCCACTCCTCCCTCGAATATAATTTCCATGTGGTTCCAGGGTGATTGTCACTGTCTCTGTATACAGCACTGGTATACTACTGTATATCAGGCAGTAGGCACTCAACCAACACTTGCAGAATAAATAAGCAAGCAGAAGAGATGAATCCTTTTCCCTTTGCTATGTTAAAATCTTACCCATCCCTATGAAGATGGAGGAAGAGGCCATGAGCCAAGGCATACAGGTCACTCCTAGGGACTAGAAAAGGCAAGGAAATGGACCCTCCCTGGAGTCTCCAGAAGCAACTCAGTGCTGCTGACCCACTACAGACCTCAGACCTCTGGAACTGAGCAAGAACAAAGCTGTGTTGCTTTAAGCATCATAGTTTGTTATAGCAGTGATAGGAAACTATAAGAGGAAAAAGATCTGAAGGGATTATAACTGGGATTTCAAACTCAAATGCCTCAACACGCAGGCAGTAAAGCCAAATCAGTCAAGCAGGCGAGGGGAGGAGGTCTTTTCTAAAAAGAGCAGCTCTTACTCAGCTGATTCCTGCATGCAGGAAGCTAGCTGCATGTTGCCAACCCTCAATATATCAGGAGAAGCTAGAAATATATGTGTTCATGAGAAATCACCCCATTTTTAAATGGTGACATCTAATTTAAACAACATAAATAAAACATAGTCAACTAAAGCATATCTTTAATTAAAAAAAAAAAACCTTAGTTATCTCTCACAGTCTAGCTCAAATATACCCTCATCCTTCTCCCCTCCCCCTAGCTTTCTGACCACTCAAGCTTTCAGAGGTCTCCCACATCTGAATTTTACAGGACCATCCTCATGGGCATTCTCCACGTAATAAATTCCTTGGGTCATGATAACAAATAATATTGGCTAAATATTTGGCTCAACACCTACTAGTTGCAATAACTGTACTTATTTCCTCTAATTCTAAGGCCATAGAAGGTCTGGAAGGAATCACCCTCCTCAGCACAGATGGAAAAACAAAACTGAAACTCACAGAAATAAATGACTTGTTTCCCCAAGGTACACCATTATACATGGCAGAGCCAAAATTTGAACTCAGGTCTGACTCTTAAAAGTCCCATCCTTGCTGCCAAGCAACCTGTTCTAATTTTGAACAGAGATCGTGTTCACCTAATCTGCACAGAAGGAACAAGGAATACAAAGTATGCCCCACCCTTACTTACCTCTACCTTCACTGACCTTGCAACCGCTCCTACACTCAGGCCTGGCTCCTGGCTTACCAGCTAGGTAAACCTCAGGCTCTACTTGCTCACCTGTGAAACAGGGATAATGATGCCTACAGTGGACATCAGCACCTGTTCAGTACTAATGAACTGCCACATTTATTACTATGCATCAGGCAACGAGCTTGACTGAAGGCAACCTAACAAAGTATCTTCTCAGAGTAGACAATGTGGCCAGCAAAATAGCACAGGTATCCCATGAAATATTAGCACTAATAAATAGTCACTATAAACTATGCCAATTATGCAGCACAAAATTTGCTATCAGTTCAAGGCTGCTCAGAT